TCTCTCTCTCTCTCTCTCTCTCTCTCTCTCTCTCTCTCTCTCTCTCTCTCTCTCTCTCTCTCTCTCTCTCTCTCTCTCTCTCTCTCTCTCTCTCTTCTTATTTCAAGCCATGTAAATCTATAACCAATCAATAGCTGCCTAGCCCTTGAAGAGACCTCCAAGGCAATGGATACTCGCTCATCTTTCCTGCAAGTTTTTTTTCTTTCTCAGGGTATTATTCTCGCCCTTTCCCCTGTCCCCATCCTCGGCCTTGTCCTTGTTGCCTGGCCATCAGGTGTTGCTTCGAGAAATCCTCGTACATGTGCTGCTATTTCTCAATGCATGTACGTGGAGGACATTGGGCCACTTCTTGTTGGTTAGGGAGCTACATGGGACCTAGTATGGAAATTACTTGAGGCAACTTTGCGCCGTTGGGCAATAGCTTTGCTGCGCGGGCCTGGGCAGTTTCCTATTTGCAGCCATAGCAAAGAAAACAGCAATAGCAACAGACAGCAACGACAGTAGCGACAGACAGCAACGGCATTGGCAATCGTGACAACCTACCTATGTAATCCGTACCACAGTATGTAATCGGTAAAAGATATGGACCAGGGCAACGAAAAATACGGGAATTTGATTGGCTATTCGGCATCCTACTCCGGTATTCCTTCAACCGGTTGTCGCCAGCAGTGCTAGCTAAATCCGTGATAGCGCGAAGCTTAATTCGCTGAGTCATACTCCGATCCGGTCAATTCCATATAGGCTCCTTGCCACCAGTTCCAGCCGTAATCCAGCTGCAACTCCCATGGCTCACAAGGCCGTAAAACTTCAAAGAAAACAACAGGCTAACACGCGGAGATTGTCACAGCTGCCCAGTTGTAGGCTGTTTGACGCAGTACTGTATGTACTCATGTATGTGTATCTGTACAGTACATAGGTACCTATAGATACATCATCCAGCTGGAGCTTGATTAGGTCAGGTAGTGGGGCCCATTGCCAGCCTAATTGACGTTGGGACGGACTTTGCCCAGGTAAGCACCACTGCAGTCGTTTTTTCAATTTTTTCAATGCTTTGTTCTCTTATTTCGCTTTCGCATACAGTGGAGGGCGGAGGAGTGCTGACGAACAATCGATAATGGGAGCTCGAATATGTTAGTGGATCCATCTAACAGGTCCTCTGAGCAGTAATTACTAGGAGTTCCCCCCCCAGGGTCCCGCTGCCCCCCCCCCAAAAAAAAAACACAACGCCGAGAACCGATTCAGCCGCATCTTCGACCTCCTCCTACCCACCTCCACCCCCCACCACAATGGCGAGCGCGCGTGGCTTGGACACGGAACCCTCGGTTTCCGCGGACACGAGCCCAACAGCCGGGCCCCCCTCTGTCCCGGCGTCGTACAACTCCCCCGCCACCGGTATTGGCAATGTCCAGTCATCTCTCGCGCAGGCCGCACCTCCCGGGTCTACCGTCTACCCCCCAGCTGCTGAAGTCTCGGGCGCCTCGAATCCCCGCAGCTGCGTCACCTGTCGAAGGAGAAAAGTCCGGTGCGACAAGGCAATGCCATGCGGCAACTGTCGCCGGGCCCAGATCCAGTGCATCTTCCCGGCCCCGGGACGCGCGCCGAGACGAAACCGGCCAAAAGATCCGAACGCCTCGTCAAAACAACGATCGACCGAGCGCGAGGTCGAATTGATTGGACGCCTCCGGAAGCTGGAGGGGATTGTCGAGGAGTTGAGCGGACAGGTCCAGCTCGAGGCCGTCAGACACACATCAAGCTCTGGAAACTCACCCGAGGCGTCTCTCGGGCGCGAGGTTGACACAAGCACGCCTTCGGCTGCTGGGCCGGCCGAGGGTTCTGCGAGTGAAGGCAGCCGCGGTCAGGGCTCCCCGGCTCTCGGCACTGCCGGAAGAGGAACCCCTGCCGCTGGCAGGTTGGTTTCGGGCTACAACACAAGTTCTGGACCGCTGGGGAGGGTGCCGGATGTCAATAAGAAGCTGGGACGGCTGGTGTTGAACGAGAAGGGCACCAGCAGATATGTCAGTAGCGGGTTTTGGTCTCGGATTAATGACGAGGTATGTCCTATCCGTGGACAGTGGTCTAGTCTGCCACCCACCACCGTCCACGCCCCCGATGTCGTGACACGTCGTCCAAACGAACGTGGCTGACAAATAGCACCAACAACACAGCTGGACGAGATTCGGGCTGGGACCGAGACCTTTACAGACGAAGAGTCGGACGAGTCGGACATGGACAGCTCGCCGGCCTCGGTAGGCCAAGAACGAAGCGCCACCGCTCACCAGTCATTCATCATGGGATACAGATCTGCCGACGTTGATCTAAGACCGTTCCACCCTCTACCGTCTCAAATCCCGTTCATGTGGCAGATCTACCAAGAGAATGTCGACCCGCTCGTCAAGATCCTACACGTCCCGACTATGGATAAGCTGATCCGGGAGATTCGCAAGAGCCTCGATAGCCTCACGCCTCCAACCGAGGCGCTGATGTTCTCCATCTACTACGCCGCCATCACGTCGATGGATGCAGCAGAGGTGTGTTCCTATGTGCCATGCCCTCCTCCTGAATGCCTGCGAACCAGAACTTGAGACTAAAGCCGCCGCCATCCCAAGGTGAAATTGAACTTTAATGCCGAGAGAGACACCCTGATAGCGCAGTATCGTTTCGCCGTTGAGCAGGCGTTGGCAAAGGCCAACTTCCTCGGCGACCCCGACCTCACACTCTGCCAGGCCTTCCTCCTCTTCCTCGTCATTGTCCGCCGCCACGACGATACCAGGTTTGCCTGGACGCTGACGGGCTTGATCATTCGCATCTGCCAGGCCATTGGACTTCACCGTGACGGCACAAACTTCCCCAACATCTCCCCGTTCGAGGTCGAGATGAGGCGACGCTTGTTCTGGGCTGTCTGCATCCTGGATCTCCGGTCTGCCGAAGACCAGGGGACCGACCTGACCATAGTTGACCGGACCTTTGACACGCAGACGCCACTCAACATCAACGATACGGACATCGACCCGAGCAGCAAGGAGCTGCCGCAGCCGCGGGAAGGGACCACGGATATGACCTTCTCGTTGATTCGCTACGAGATTTGCGCGCTTGCTAGAAGGCTACACGCCGCGACATCAGCCATGCCGACGGCATGTCCTCGCGATGCATCCCAGAGTGTTGCGGAGCGCGAGGCTTTACTGCGCGAGGTGCATGAACGCATCCAGGACAGGTACCTGAGGAACGGCGCTTCCGAGGACAGTGCCAAGTACTGGGTGGCAGCCCACGTCGCGCGGCTTATCGTGGCCAAGATGACGCTGCTCATCTACCAGCCCGTCCTGTTCCCCGGCCCCGGCAACGAGACCCTCTCGAGCGACCGCCGCCAGCGGCTTCTCACGGCCGCCATCGAGGTGTTTGAGTACAACCACCTCCTCAATACGGATCCCAGAACGAAGCAGTGGCGCTGGCTTTTCCAGACATACACGCAATGGCATGCCGTGGCCTACGTCCTCCTGGAGCTTACCCACACGCCTTGGAACTCGGTCATGGAGCAGGCATGGTGCGCCCTCACCAACTCCATCTTTACGTCGCCGAAGCAGGCCGAGCTTGAGAAGATGGCCGACAATGCTGCCGTGTGGCTGCCGCTCAAGAAGCTCTACTACAAGGCGAAGCGGCATCGGGAGGCCGAGCTGGCGAGATTACGATCCGACCCGGAAGCTGCCCGACAGCTGGACCTGGAAACCAGAGCCAGCGCCCCACCGCCGCCGCCTTTCTCCCCGCTGCCTGGGTCTATTCTGGGCGCGGGAGCCCACGAGAGGTGGCGCAAGTTGGTTAATGCACCCCCGCCACAGCCCCTCCAAGGGAGCGCGACTCGGTCGCAGCAGCCCGCCCCCCGGAGGAGCGAGTCGCAGTCGACAACCATGTCGGGGCCGTCCGGGCCCGGCGGCACGCGGAACACGACCTCCCCCAGCGATGACTTCCTGGACCAGCTCATGGACACCGCCCTGAGAACCCCGTTTGAACCTTCCCAGTTTATCCCGCTTGCCTGGTCAGTCGAGCCCCCCCTGGATATTGCCCGCGATGCGATCCTTGGCTTCTCCAACGGCGATGTGCCCCGGGCCGACGACCATGGGGCCCGGACCACTTCGATGGGGCCCCTGATCGACAGCGGGCCCGGCTACGCATCAGCTGCCCCGGCCGGGGGGCAGCAGCATCCGGCGGCTGGGGTGCAGCTCAGGGACGACAACCCGCCGCCGTGGATGTGGTCGCCCGGACCGCTGCCGGTGGCGAACCAGCTCCCCGGCCCACCCGTGGACGACATGGATGTGAACATGGATGAGGGCTTCGACTGGCAGAATTGGCAGGAGAGCATTCAGCTGGAGATGAGCGGCGGTGGAACGGGAGGGGTCTGGGGCCAGGGTATCTGAGACGTGGCTGGCTATCTTATTATCCCGTGGTAACCACATCTTGGCTGCCATGGATGGTTCATAACCTAGCCAACGCGGTGTACGAGTGCTAGTCAATGGGGAAAGGAGGGGGGGGGGGGAAGGGGGTCGGGGGAAAAGGGGCGGGGAAAAGGGGCGGGGAAAGGGGAAATCCTGGTAAACGGAGTCTGCGGGGGTGGCGGGATGAAGTGTTTCATGTGTTGATACCCACTCCATATGTTTATTTTATATACTGATGATGCTGTGATTTTGACTATCCCGTATTCACTCTGACATCCATGTCTGAGACATGAGGTCGGTGGCCCTGGGGAGTGTGGGGTATGTTTTCTTCCATCGTCGCTTCTGTGCAACGTGTCTGAACCTTATTCTTTCTTAATGCATCATTTAATCGCATTCCCAAGATGCTCCCGAATCCGTTGATCAGCATCTACCAGCTGTACAAGCAGGATACCGACTCGGTGGCATCCTGGCTTGCCTCCACTGCCAAGGCCTGTGGCTATCCATCCGACCTGCTGCCTAATAATAATGGCGACACGGCCAAAAAGACACCCGGACGACCAAAAGGCAAGGCGAGGAGCAAGGCGAAGAAGAAGGGCCCTGGCTCGGGTTCGGGGCCAGCCAAGGTGTTCAAGTATATTGTGGCGCTGAAAGACTTCATCCCCTTGGCCGAGTTCATCACGTCGTTGGCGAAGCCCAAAGTCGCCGTGCTGGAATCCTTTTGCGAGACTATCAACAGAGTCATTCATCGCTGTCCGGGCAGGCTTTGGCGGGCAGGTGAACGAACATGGCGCCGACACAGATGCCCAATCTGATCGCAAGCACTCCTACTTCGTCGGGGTCCTTGAGAAGGTCCGAGAAGTGCTCAAACCGCGCATGTCTCCCCTGTCTCAGGCAGCCACAGAACCGGCCCCAGGCGTTGCCGACAGGGATAGCCTGGCGAACAAGTTCGGGGCTCTGACCATCTATGAGCCGTCCCGGGAGTTCTTGGATGCCCCCGCACTGGAGAGGCCCCAGAGGACCGAGGAAGACGAAGTCATCTACGAGGCCGAGCCGCAGAAGAGCCTGGAAGATGCCCTGGTTGCGTACACGATGATGGTGAACGACATCAACAGGATAAGGTCTCACATCGACTGCACTTTGAATTCCACGAGAAGCTCAAGGTCGATCACTGGCCGGCGTCTAATGACCACATGCTGCGAGAAGTACAGAGGAAGATCAAGTGGATTGGTCAGGAGCCCGTTCACAATGTGAAGCTCAAGTTCTATCGCAAGAGCGGCATGCCTGTCCCGGAATCCATGACGCGACATCGCATGCTCCAATACTCGCCTGTGCTGTCCGGCTTGATCTTGTATCACTTCCGGGCCGACATGTACGACATTGGCATCGCCGTGGTGAACGCCTGGGGTTCCATCACGTATTCGTGGCAGCTCTACAATGCGCTTCGGAACGAGAACCTCATCGACGAACCCTGGTCGGACATGGAAGTCGTGCAGACTCTCATTGGCGAATCCAACTTGTACCCTGGGCGAAGACCAGGCAGCTTGGCGGAATATCTTTTCCAGGTTCTGCCTTCAGATGGGGGTCTCGGCGGCCAATTTCGCCGACCCGAGGCGCCGACGCGGAATCACAGCTCTCGGCTCACGTGCGGGCCCTCGCGGCATCAAGAGCGGGATTCCAGTTTCGTCCATGTTTATGGACCGCTATCTGCGTGCCACCGGACAGGTCGACTGGACGCCCGAGCACATCGACGACATCATCGCCCGCAGCGAGTTCGAGCTGGAAGGCTCCGCCGACGGGGGGACGCTCTCTATGGGCCAGATCGACGACCCAGCCCAGCTCAAGGCCATGAAGGCGGAGAGGCGGCGGCAGAAGAAGAAGGCCGTCGATGGCGCTCGCATGTCCCCCGAGCAGCTGATACAGCACCTCACGATGGCCCTCCAAGCCGAAACCATGGAGATATCCTTCCCTTACCTGATGATGCACCGCTGGTGCTGGAGGCTGCTGCGCGCCGTCAAGGACGCCTGCGACCCCTTTCTCAGGCAGCTGTACACGCCGGCATACATGGACCGCGAGACCCAGCTGCCCTTCGTGGTAGGGTACATCTTCCTCACCGCCAGCGGGGCCGAGGGAGGGATCAGGGATATGCGCCTGCTCGAGGCTTCGGCACCGGCGGTCGACGGCCTGACCGGGACCGGCGTGGGAGCCTTTCTACTCAAGGTGATGCGGGAGAAGTTGGGATTCAACATTCAATTTTCCCAAGAGGACGAAGACGGTGCAAGCTCCGGATAAGCGAGGAAATCGGGTTTGAAGGTGGTTTCAGCAGCCTGGATAGACTCTCTCCTGTTAATAATTATTTGATGCTTTCCTTTTCCGTGGGGGGAATGCAGTGGGTGGGGAGACAAGCACATGGTGGATAACGGATATAGATCAAGATCATGCGGAGATGGTGTGCATACGACAGGGATTCTCATCCTGCTGGACTTATGCAGTTGGACTACCTACCTACCTTAGTGTAGCCTGGCGTTCTAGGCAGCAGCTGAAAGACTACATAACTACCTACCCCACGTAGTAACGAATTATTAAAGGGGGCAGCTGTCATCCACATCAACTCGACCCCCCTAAAAACACAAGCAGTAGAATCAACGGAAAAACGCCATGGCAGACATTGGACATGTCTTTCTCACGCGCATCTGGCTCTTCCAGGCCATCGTGGCCGGCCCCACGTTTGTGCTGCTCGGGATTTTCGCCATTGTCAACCTCTATAGCACTTATGACACCACGTACGACTTCGTGACGAACCTGTGCACCGCCATCCTGGCCGCCGGCATCATCTTCATCGTCCTGGTCCAGCAACAGCTCCCGGCAGCAGGGAAGAGGCTGACATACCGTTTTGAGCTTGCCAAGTCGATCCTGGCAACCGCGCTCTGGGTCTGGCTGATGTAAGTAGTCCGTCCTTCTTCACGGAGACGTATTTTTGCCCACACCATCTGTTTAATTGATTAATTAATTAATTAATTACCGGACAGGGCGGACGCGATCTGGGGCCCTCATGACCACGGGAGGTCATACAGTGACCGGCGCCCTAGGATCATAGCCAGCGCCATCTCCGTCATTTTACTCCTGTAAGTTTGTCCCACAACTACCTCACCTACCAGCCTGTTCCCATCTGACTGTTCCGCCATGCAGTCTTCTCTTTTATCCCACCGTCGTCTACGCAGGCTACCTCAGTCGACCGGCTGGATCCGAACAGGACGGAGGGGGGCAAGAGCGGGTGCAGGATGCGGCCGAACGGGCACCGTTACTCCAGAATGAGTCGCTTTGAAACGGCTGAACAGAGTGGTGATGATTGTGATTGTGCAAGTCCATCTCGAGGGTGGGTTCATCTAGCTTGATCGGCTCAATTGGTTATTATTATTGTCTGTCCACTCTGTCCACTCATCGGGGAGAAAAAGTGGCATGGTCGGGTCCAGATTCGCCGAGAAGAGCGCATCGACTCGGCCGAGTTCGAAACTCGGGTCGAAGTGGTCGAATATTCCTGCAACGTCGGCGAAGTCATTGATGGTGTTTGGGTCTAGAGGCATGGACGACGCAGTGTCGAGTGTAGAGTAGGCGTTGCTGACCCCAACTGGCGGCGGTGTCGCCGGCCGATCGGGTGGCCCCAGGCGTGACACATCAGATAATAGATTGCTCTGCTCCATCCCCGGCGGCGCATGTGGTGCTGAGTGGCTGTTCTCGGGCGGCTTGTTGCCCTGTCGTTCCTCACGGGGCTTGGCCTTGTTCCTGTTCACAGAGACTCGTTCCACTTCCTGCAATGTGTCCTTGGCCAGTCGGGCCATGGTGCGTGCCGAGGGGAATGATTTGCTGAGCTCGTCCAAGACATCGCAGCCGCTGTGGAAAAGGGTGTAGGCTCGTTTCCGCTTGTATGGTATGCTGCTGTTGCGGAGGCTCTGGTATGCAATCGATGTGGCCAGCGAGACCGCATAGGGGACGACGGCCCAGTAGGTGATGGAGAACTTGAGCTCTTCCGAGGCTAGGGAGACTATGCTCGCCGCGCAAAACGACTGCATGCTCGAGCTTGCAACACGCTCGTTGTTTCGCTCGTGTTTCCTGGGTCTGCTTTGTAGTATCACTACTGCTAGATAGGACAGCTCTAGGGATGCTAATTAAGCCATGAAGAGGTTAGCCGGGCTGCAGATTGTTTGGCTAATAAGACTACTCTTGACACAAAAGTGGAGGGTTTAATACCGAGTAATGCATTCCCGATATCTGCTGAGCTTGTCTCGGCTACAAGATCCTCAAAACTGGGTGTTGCCTCGGCGATTCCCCGGCTCTCCGGCGTCGCATTGGGGCGGTACTGCGATATGACATCGTCGAGGAACCTGGCAATGCGAATGAACAGCCGAAATGACGGGATTTGCTCGGGAACCGACTCCAAAACCCTCTCGTCCATGTCTTGACGGTGGATCAGGATTGGTCGGCCATTTATGGCGGCATCCAGCCGGTCAAGGACCCATACGCACCAGAAGATGCGCCTGGACTTCTCCGTCCTCAATCCGCCGCCGGGCCAACCGAGATGGAGGCCGAGAGTCTGCGCGAGCTGAACGGCCTGCGCGGCAAAGTATGCGGATACCTCGCTGGAGCTCGGCCTGTCGTCGACGTAGAATGCCATCAGCGCCGAGACTTGAAGCAAGACCACCTTGTCGCGGATGAAACCCATGTCCAGCGATTGCTTCAGGGCCTCGGCGATGCATTTTCGAAACTCAATCTGGGACAGAACACACTCGGTGTGCGGCGGCAGCCGTAGGTAGCTCCTGAGCGAGGGATCCGCCGCAGCCAGCAGGCAGATACACTGCTTCAGCGCAACAGCATCGAGGGGGTCGTGGCTCTCGAGCACCTCGCCGTGCAGAATGGGGAAGAGGGGATCGATCTTGGCGTAGAACAGCTCGGATATGCGCCCGAACTCGTAGTCAGGAGGCAGCACCGACATGCATTCTCTACGCAGGTAGGGTGCCAGCGCTTTCAGACTCGCCAAGCCCGACAGCTGGAACGGGGTGCCTCCGGAGGGCTGCACCGTGATGACCTCGGCATCTTGGTCCTCTGTCTGGCGGCCCTGGTCGTCAGGTTTCTGTCCGAGCCATACGCCAATATTGTCGCGTCTCGATGGGGCCCTGTGGTTGCCGGGGCCCTTGTCGCGGTTGGCAAGGAAGGAGGCTTCCGGGCTCAGGTCGCCGACGAAGCGTAGATATGCGCCTTCGGAGATCAAAGGCGGTTGGCCTGCTACTGCACCATCGGGTCGCGGATTGGTTGCCGCCTTCAAACGTGTGCTGGTCTCATCCTCTGCTCTCTGCGCAGTGGCCACGCTGGCTCGCGAGTCATCAAGGGACTGGCTCTCCGGCGTCTGCCTCTCCCGAGAGAGGCCAGAGTATCCCGCTGGAGAGGGAGTGGTCTGAGACTGAGCCGAGCTGGGCTGATTCACGTGCGAGCACCGTTTCTGCGCAGAGCATCAGCGCATTGGACCTCCCTTTTGCCGCATTACCACGCACCCAGAGCGGCGTGCGTCCGCAGTCCTTCTCCTTGGTGGCAAGTACTTACGTGACGCTTTTTGCAGGATTCACATGACTTTCGTGCAGATTTGCGTTTGGTTCCTACGCCGCCAACATGGTCGGGCACAAACCTGAACATTATTTTCGGCAGGCATTGCACAGCCACGTTTCCTCGTGGAGACGGGGATAACGAGCGATGCTTCTTTTGTGCTATGCAAGCTGAGGAAGGGCGACGGGTGTCGGAGTGGATAGGTAATTTCTGGTGCGCGATTGTCACGTGATTATCTGGGGGCAATCGTCCAAATCTTGGCAATTCCACGACGTCTCCATAATCACACCGCTAGCTAACGCCATCCTCCACTGTACGAGCACAATACCATTTACAGTCAGGGCCCAGATGGCAAGAATCCGCCTGCCGAGGAACCGCTGCCTCCCTTTTTCTTGTGTTCGGGGTACTTATCCATCATCATCTTGAACAGCTTCAGGTCCTCCAATGCATCCGCCGCGGTCGTCTTGATGTCCTTGCCATTCGCCACGCACTCATACAGATCCCTCAACTCGGCAGTATAGGCATCCTCGTAGGATGTCTGCAGCGATCGATGGCACTTCTCGCCGTGCTCGTTGAGTTCGTCGATCTCAACCGTGATGCCCAAACCCTTGACGAACGGTGTGTCGTACTTGATCGTCACGCTCTTGTTCTCGCCGAATACGGCCACCTGAGAATCGAAGCGAGGAACGGTGTCGATGCCTGTCTCGTATAGGCAAGTGAACCGATCGTGCGGGCTCGCCCGGTTACGGTAGTCGAACATGGTCGTGTACCACCGCGCATTATCTGTCGATGCGAGCACTTCCTCTGGGAGCCCGCCCAGCACCTCCCGCATCAGACTCAGCCCATGACTGCCGAGGTTGGCGAGAAGACAGCAGTAATCCACCTGTTCCCGGCTCAGCTCCGCGAAGGGAGTGCCCCACGCCTCTTCGAGCAGCGCCGCCAACCTAGCCTCCCTGTCCCGTCGGGCCTCAGGAGGGATGTCATCGAAGAACTTTTGCGGATCGGTTCCGGACTGCCCGATGAAGTACGCGTTGGGGCCGATGATGTCGCGGACGCGGGCGTACTTGATGCTCCCGATGGTCGAGACCTCCCGGTGGAAGGCCTGCAGGCTCGGGGCGTAGCGACGCATGTATCCGACAAAGACGCGGGCTCCGTTAGGAGCGGCGCGCTCGGCTTCGATGATCTTTTGCGCGGATTGCAAGCTCAGCGTCATCGGCTTCTCGACCATGACGTGCTTGCCGGCTTGGAGCGCGGCGATGGTATAGGGGGCATGGAACTCGTCCGAGGTAAGCAGCACTACCAGGTCGATGTTGGCGTCGTCGAAGATGTCTGCTGGATCGGTTGTGGACCGCGCAATGCCGAATTTGGTGGCGCAATGGTCGGCCGTCTTCTTGGACACATCGCAAATGGCGGCCACTTTGTACAGACTCGACAGGAATACAAAGGTAGGGACGTGGACAATCTGGGCAACGTCACCGGCCCCGATTATCCCTACCTGGAGAATCTTGCTCGCCATCTCGGGATGTTGAATGGTTTTCGAGGATTTGCTTCAATGCTAATTAGACGAGCGACAAGTGTGTCACGGATCTTTCTACCAGGACAAGTAACTGCCTTGGTTTATCACTCCAGTCCTTCAAACGTCGCTGGATCTGAACTGTCTTCATGGCCCCCCGGGAGACGCCATCGACTAGGCAACTAACTCCTCTTTAGGCCATCTGCGGGAGTTTTCCTAGTTTGGAGGTCCCCGATGAGAGACTCGAAGAGGGGAAGTGCGGAGTTAAGGGGCTGTGGAGTAATTCGGGGTAATTAGTTCGCAGAGCTACGGCAACGGTTATCCCCCGCTCCCAACCCCCACCCCCGAGCGAGCTAAAGTTGACTCCAGGCCAGATCAACTTGAGACACAGGCCGAGCTGTGAATGCCATAGTCACGATTGCATCTAACTATTTGTTGAGCCCGTGTCCCCCTCTGCGTCTTATTGTACATACTGTACCTAAATACGCACCCTGAGCTAGCCAATCAGATAATTACCCATCCAAATCTTGTTTCGCCTCACTCCCCAGACTCTCGCTCACCATGCCAGTCGGGGTTGCCTTGGTCGGAGGAGGTAAGCATGAGACTCTTCCGTACTTTGTATTTCTAATAATAACAAAATTCTCTTCACAGGCATTTGGGCTAGAGAGGAACATGCGGTAGGCCATAGCTTCGAGAATACTCAAACAAGATGCCGTGATTGACATCCCACAGCCGTCTATAGAAGCTGCCGAACACCTTGTCTTGAAGGCTATTTACTCGCGGACCCTCAAATCGGCTCAGTCAGCCGCCGACGTCGTGGCTGGTCCAGTGGACTTGTACGCCGAAGAGACCCCGAATGGATTCGCGGAGCTCCTGAAACGAACTGACATCGCTGCTGTCGTCGTGTCGTAGGCTACACCTCTCTACGTCCCCACACAACAGATGATTTTGCTGACCGGCGAGCACACAGGCTACCTATCAAGGACCAGGGGAAATACATCCGTTCCGCTCTCTTGGCCGGAAAACATGTTCTTTCCGAGAAACCCGTGGCCGAGAACGTCAAAGAGGCCGAGGAGCTGATCAGGTGGTATCGTTCCGAGATCAAAGGCCCTACTTGGTGTATTGCAGAAAACTGGCGTTTCCTGGAAAGCTACAGATATGCGCGTGACGAAATTAAAGGGCTGGGAAGAATCCTCGGGTTTCAGGGGCGACAGCAGGGTCTGGTCGTGAAAACGGGCAAGTTCTACCGTAAGTTTGCGTCTCTTCACCGCCGGCATCCTGACTAGTCGTGTCCCTGATTATATTGTCATCCTGGCAGAGACCGAGTGGCGTAAGAATCCCACGCACCAAGGCGGCTATCTCCTTGACGGCGGTGTGCATTACATCGCGGGCATCCGCCAGCTTCTAGGCGCAGAGTCTGGCACCCGGATTGCCCGGATTTCCGCCTTCACAAACCAGCTCCAAGACTACCTGCCGCCCGTCGACAGCGCCGATGCGGTCATGCGTACGAAATCCGGCGTCACGGGCACTTTCCAACTCTCCGTGGGCACCAGCCTGCGTGCGGACGAGTGGACCGTCGCTTGCGAGGATGGCTGGGTCAAGGTTGAAGGCTCACAAGTCACCGTTTCCCGAGACGGCAAGGAGACGGTCAAGACTGTCCCGAACGAGAGAACCGGAGTCCCACCCGAGGTCCGCGCCTGGGGAGAGGCTTTGGCGGCTGGGACGGTGCGGCCGGAGCAAGAGCCGGAGGCTGCTCTTGCGGATCTTGAGCTGGTGAGTCTACAACCTCGCCCCGCGCGGCGGGCATATTGTGGTTCGCGATTTTTGGAAATTACCTCTCCCACTGACACGGTTTGCCCATTTAGATCGAACTTATCCTGAGAAGCGGAGAAGAGGGTGGAGCGCCAATGGACTGCCGGCATCAAGATGTATGAGAGATATGAGGACCTTGCTACAGAGATGGGACAGAAGGGACATCTCGTTGGTTGGAGGATCTTGGACCCTGGGTCATCCACCTAGCACAATTACCAAGTTTCGGACGCTCCTAGCGCTTTCAAACCATGGTTTGCAGTCCGAGTGGCTTGGCAATGATTATCTTTTGCATGTGGTGGAGCCAAGCTTTAACCCTCACGAGTTTAGATCGCCACAACCAAGCCCCGTCTAGCAGTCTTGAAGTTGGTCGGGAGTTTCCCTTTTAGGCCAATTCCCTCCCCAGAGCGCTTCCCCAGATCCCCTTCCCCGGACCCCCTTCCCCAGATTCATTCTCTCGGATTCCTTCTTAGTCACATGCTCGCCCTCCTATTTACTTTTTTCTTTTCTTTTGTAATCATTGTACATACATACATACAAACCTTCTTGCGTTCTCCATTGCTACTCTATCCTCGACAAGATGTTGGGATCCTTCAAATTCGATTGGAAACCCCATAAGTGGGCGATGCTGTTCTGCGGCATCTCTGCCATCGGTGCACTTTGCTATGGATACGACAACACCTACTACAACGGCGTCCTGGCCATGCAGGAGTTCAAAAACGACTACGGAACACACTACGATGCGAACGGGAAACTCGCGTTGGGATCCTCGTTTCAGTCCCTCACCGCGTCCTCCATCTACATCGGAGACTTGTTTGGGGCCATGATCGCAGCCCCTATCAATGATCGATGGGGCCGCAAAGCGACATTCTGGTTTGCTTCGTTCTGCATCCTCGTCGGAGGCATCACGCAGGTTGCCGATACCATCCATCACGAGGCCATCGTCAGCGTGGGCCGCATCCTGATCGGCCTCGGCGTCGGCCAGTTCACCGTCACGTCTCTCCTGTATATCGGCGAGGTGGCACCGTCAGCGATACGCGGACCGGCCCTCATGATGTTCCAGTTCTTGCAGTCGTGGTCCCAGCTCGTTGCCTCGGCGATCAACCAGGGGACGCAGAACATCCACAGTTCTCTGTCCTACAAAATCCCCATGGGCGGCCTTGTTGTGTTGCCTCTCCTCATGTTCGCCTGCCTGCCCTTCACCCCGGAGAGCCCCGCCTGGTATATGTTCAAGAGCAGGCGGGAGGACGCTGAGAAGGCCCTTCGCACCATCAACCGTGGCCAGCCTTCGTACGACCCTGCCGAAGACATGGAGACGTTGGAAATCGCCAAGCGTGTTGAGGACGAACGTGCTCAGTTCTCATCTTGGAAGGCCCTGTACCAGGATCCTATTGAGCGGAGGAAGGTTATTTTCTCGGCCGGCGCCATGTTTTCGCAGCAAGTTTGTGGGTGAGTGGTAGCGGTGGACCCCTGAAGCAGGAGGCTGGGTGTGCAATCCTGGAGGCCGCTATTGTGACTAACCCCAAGCCCTAGAATTCTTTTCTTTTACGTCTATGGGGTTGTCTTCGTTCAGGAGATTGGTGTAGCGGACCCATTTTTGGTCCAGCTCATCGTCAACATCGTCCAGATCATCGCAGTTGGCGCCTCGGTCGTCACGGGCAACAAGGTTCGACGCCGGGTAAATCTCATGGTCACGAACGGCATGATGCTGGTTGCATTCGTCGTCATCGGAGGCATCGGCACGCAGTCGACTCTCACTACGGCATCCCAATACGTCATTGTCGTCTGCTCGTTCGTCGTCGTCGTCGCCTTCAACTTTGGACTCGGCCCCCTTGCATACACCATCGCACGTGAAATGGCGGTCGGCACAAACCAGAACAAGATCATGTCTTCTTCCATCGTGATCTTCTACTTCGTCACCTGGCTCGTGTCGTTCACGGCGCCGTACTTGTACTACGATGCTGGGCTGGGTCCGATGCTTGGTTTTGTCTACGCTGGTACTACAGCCCTCGCCATTCTCTGGACGTGGTATTGCGTGGGAGAGACGTCGGGCAGGACGAACTTGGAAGTTTCCCTCTTCTTCACGGAGCGTATACCCGCTCGGGCCTGGAGAACGCATGTTTTCTCCTCTACATCATCAGACACCAACATAGATGAGAAGTCGCAAGGCGGGAGTGACGTCCCAGATAAGCCAGAGGGACGGGGGGTGGCGGAGCATTCGGAAGCTCGGGTATGAAGCGGTTTGGAAGGAGAGAACGGCCGGAGCTTGCGGGACCACGGGGTTGATGCTTGAACGGACCCGGATAACATCTTTGGGTGTGTGTAAATTATGTTAGTTGCGCGGTCGAGAGGAACTTATCACGTCTTGCAAGGCGTCCAATTGAAGAAGGGCCGGATCCAGGACAATCCCTGAGACCCGGCCCCTTGAACCCAGTAATCACTACTGCCTCCCTCCACTAGAAGACTGTCAAGAAAACTCAGGCTGAGCGTCTGAAATCAGAGAGTGAAGATGATTGCCATCATTGTGCTATGAATTACTGTCACTATTGCTTTGCTATAGGTAGAAATGGCAAGAGCAATAGGCAGAGACGGCAATCGCAATAGATATTGACAGCAATAGCGACAGCTACAGCAACCGCAGCTGTTGCCAATTTTCCGCCACCTAGGGGGTGCTCGGGTAGGCGAGCTTGGAAGTCGTTGGGCAGGTGACAGCAGGTGATACTGGAATTGATCGGGTTGATCTCGGGCTGATCATCGGATTCTCAAGATAATTGCAGAAACTTGATTAATTACAGGCTACATGTGCGCCTCCATCCAATACTGTGACCAAACAAACTAGTTACGCCAGTCCACGAATAATTATATGCATCAAGTTATTCCCAGAATCTCGTCTCCTAAAACCCCATCACCTTGTTTCCATATTTGAGAACCTCTGCCTCGCCCTTGCTCGCCGCAGCCGCAACATCAAACGGCGCGAATCCAGTCGAGCGGAGAGCATCGGTGCCGGCCATGGCCTTCAGGTCCTCGACCGTGGCCCGGCCGACGTGCTGCCGCTCGCCCTCGCCGCCGGGGAAGTCGGGCGGGGGCACGCCGTCCTCGAAGTTCTCGCGCTGGCGCCGCAGGTAGTCGAGGTTGCTCCGCGTCGTCGGGCACGCCGGGATGTACAGCACGCTCGAGTCGCCCGCGCCGTTGTGCACCTTGTCCACCGAGTGGATCGTGTCGCAGTGCCAGGCCACGTAGTCGCCGGGGGCGATCTTGGGTACGTGGATCATGGTGTGCGGGAGGTTGAGATGCGGGTGCAGCGCGTGGCTCAGCTCCTGGCTGTGGCCAGGCCAGGTGCCCTGCAGGGCGGAGGTGAGAGGATCCTCGGGTTTCCAGTTGGAGGGATCGAGGAACTCGGGCGAGTACTCGGCCTCGGGGGAGGACAGGGCGGGCGCCGATTTGGGAGTGAAGAAGGGCCGGAGGAGGTAGTACGCTGTCGCGAGGGATAGCAGGGGGTTGACAAGCAGGGTGCCCTCGTTGGCGTCGGTGTGCGACATGCTAAGCCAGCCCTGGAACATGCGGAACATGCTGCATGACCCAGCACCGTTGTACAGGTCTGTGACGGCGTCGAGGCGCGTCGTGAGCTCCCACGGGTCAAACTCGTCCCACGCGCCCTCGAACACCTTGTCGTAGACATGGCCCTTGCCGTAACCGCCATCCTCCCAGCGCTCGACGCTACCGCCGTCGACGTGGGGTCCTAGGGCGAAACCCGCGTCGCCGGGCTGGCGGATGCGGAGACGATCCGCATACGTGACGGGTTGCTGGGTGGAGCACTCGGCGGAGGGGTTTCGTGAGTGATAGTACGACATGAGGAACTTCTGGGTCTTGATCAGGTTCGGGTGGCTCCGCGCAGCAAGCTGCGATGCCGACCAGTACATCTCGAAGACCTGCGGATCGTGAGCAGGAAATGCTGTACATGGGAGGGTTAGTCTCTAGTCCAAAGGTGTAGGTGTGGGTGTCGGTGTCGGCACGTACCTTTTGTCGACGGGTTCGCTGCGATATACTTCTCAATCTGGTTCTTGTATCCGCGAGCCTCCTGCTCAGGCACGACTTGGCGCACAACAGCAACACCTCGCTTTCGGAAGGTCTTGCTGAACTCGGCTGACGGGTTGTCGAGATCTGAGAAGTTTATCTCGGGGATTATTGTCCTCTTGTTGGATTTGATAATCTCGGTTTCGGTTTTGAGGCTTCCCAGCAGGCGGTTCCAGCTCGCTTGCAGGGCCTCCTTGCCTCCTGCGCGGCTCAAAAGGGCACGCTTCACGTCGGTGTATCTCGCAGGGAGTGGCTCCTCCTCGTCGGCGCCGGAAAGTGAACGGAAAACTGAAGAGATATCACCCTCTTTCCTTGTATGAGCCGCTTGGGCGGCCATGAAGCGGCGTTGGCATTGTGAGAGGGAAGGCCAGGCCGAGAAGGGCCTGAGCTTGGAGTAACGTGCTGTGCACAGCATGGTATCAAAGGGCTGGCTGACGAGCTAGGGAGGAGGTGGTCCAAGGAGTAGTAGTGGAGAGAAAGAGACTGAATGTGGTCTAGATTGATATGGTATGGTAAAAGTTGGTCCAGAAAATGCTCCAGAGAGAAAATGGTCGTCGTCAAGAATCGAGATGGTCAACAGAGAAATACCCCATCCAGCGGCACCTTAGACGGCACGCCCCCTTGTCGTCATAGTGAGGGCTTTCCTTTTACGGAAAAGACATCGCGGGGCGGGTATTTCTGTAAATGGAAATTCCGCCAACCCCCCGAGGAGCTGGGTGTTTTGGTGGGGCAGCGGAGAGTTCCCAAAGAGGCAGTCCCGCAAAACAGGTTTGCCACCGCCAATCCAAGGGGGCTGACTTCTTGGATCTTGGAATCTTTCAGGGATGGGCATGGCTTGTTTTCTCCACATCGTCTCGGTGATCTCCAAATGCCGCCGTGAAGAAACTGGCAAGGAATTCAGCTGTCACCCAGGGGAGAGGACGGAATGAAAATTCGAAGAGCATTTGCGAGAACACTTGGCAAAATACAAATAAGCCGCCCAACTGCCCAGACAACCTCCATTTCAGCTTGACTATCAATTGAATGATGCCTTGATCACCTGAATGTGATTGTTATTGGTGTAAGAGATAACCAGCGTCCTACCCGACTCGTCAAGATATGGGTGTGCCACTCCAGCATAAACATAACCACCATCGATGGCAGCCTGTTCATATATCTTGACATCAGAAGTCCAAGGCCCCTCTGGTTTGTTGGCAGTACGCAAAAGCACGAAACCCCCTCCTAGACCTGGAATAACAGTTAGGTTCATACTCTCATGCCCATGTATTCGGGCTTTCTAATCAACTTACTGAGATGGACAAAAATGTAGCAGCCATAGTGCTGGTTCCAGACGATCTGGCCCTGTCCAGTCCCCCACATGACGGCTGTCTCACAGTCAAACTTGGTCAGCGGTGTGCTCTTCCACCCCTCCGCCCGGCCCCACCAGTACTCGTACTTGGACACATCGAAGGCGTCGGCAGCACGAACACGGATCTGGTAGACATATTGTTCCGCGATCCAGCCGGTGACCGACGTTGGGGCACCGCCCCAAGCATAGATGTAGCCCGAGTGCGGATCTGCAAAGGTCGCTACATCGCCGTAGCGGGGGTTTGACTTGGCATCCCACCAGTATCCTTTGTCGCCGAATCTCTCCGTCACTGTGGGTGTACCGTTTATGACTTGAACCTGTGCGACACCTGCACCCTTGAGGCCTGCATCATTGGCGTTCTAGAGAAAATCAGCAAGTCGCACAAAAGCCTTGTTAATTATTTAGTTATGGAAGACTTACCACTAGGTAAAATACGGCCCCAGTTGCGGATGAAGAGTCGGTTTCCACCAAGCTGGTGCCGCCAAAGCCAAAGAAACGGTCCTCGCCCCAAGATTCATTGTACGGAACGAACTGCTTCTGGTGTGCGACTGGGGAGTCACTGTTCAGGTTCAGGTCATGGACCTTGAGGGGATCATCCGTGGTCGCAGAGATGGCATTGCGAACCATGCCATGGAAACCCGGCGGGTCGTTGGCTGGATCAGTAACGCCTCCCTCACAATAGAGAGTGTCCCCGAAGAGGGCATACCATTTGCCAGCAATATGGCCGGTGAAACCGAGGTCCCGATGGCTGCAGCTGTTATCGGCCTTCTGGAAGCCCAGGTATTCGACAGACGAAACAGAGATGGAGTTCGTTCCAGAGGGTTGTGTGTTGTCGACAGGCTCCGCCATATTAGCGATACAAGTTCCAATTGAGAGTGTAATTGGACATCTCCTGGGGACACTTTAAATCAACCCTGGCCCGCGGTGCCTGTGACGTACTACCACCCATACAATGCATATATTGGCATGTGACTTTCGACCCACTCACCCCTTAGTCTTACATGATGATCAACACCGCCACGATAATTGTCTCGCAACGATAACGGTATACACAATCCAGCTTTGATAGATTCCAAAGTAGCCATGAGCTTTACTTCCAGTCATAGATTGCACTGGCACCAAGGATGTTGTAAGGTAGTTTGAAGGGAGTTTCCATGCCATTGCCTCTGGTTAGCATCATCCAGGACAGGAGAGGAGCTTCAACTTCTTTTCTCAGAAGTTCAACACCACTGCCCAGATTGGCCTTGGATTAAGATTGTTGTTAGATGGGCGTGTTGCGACTAGCTCTATATTACTGAGAATTCGGAAATTTAGAATCGGGGGAAGGAAATGAGCTTGACATGGCGTTTTACGCCTTTGGATTAACGGGTTTAGAAGGTCAAATGCCAGACATCTGCCATGGTTCAGAAAGCCAAAGAGCAGACAAGGAATCGAAATGGATTCTCCCCCTGTGCCAGTGCCATGATATACTCCTCATCCTCGCCAATCAACAAAGTATGAGCTGGTACCTCAATCTCCCACTCAAATGGCCATGAGACCTCAATTTGATATTCGAGCCCGGCCCGGCCACCGACATTCCATAATAAGCACCCTGGATACACCTAGGCGTGATTACATGCATACAATCTGGCAGATCCTACAGCGCAGTCTGGGACACATTCAAACTTCCATCACTCACTCTAGGGGGATGCCATTCTCCAACAGTAGGACTTGTGTCATTGCCCAACCCCCGGAGGGGCCGGCTTCTGACAGTACAGTGAAGCAGCACACAAACAACGCAGGAGAAGGGCAGTGACGCAGAACTGAATCAAGTTGAGGGGTTCAGACGGTTGCACAGGTCAGTGATTCACTTGATTGGGCCAGACCGCATGCAGTAATTATTGCAGTTACCTAGGCCTGGAACACCGTATCGTTCGTGAGACCGTATTCACTGTTGGTCCAGTGGAACCTGCCACCCTGAATGCTCCTAGCCGTGACTCTTATTACTTGCTGGGGGACACTTCAAGATGAGCGGCTGCGAGAGAAATATATATTTGTCCCCGGACAGAACGAAACCATTGGTACATCACTGGAGCAGTGTGTTTCAAGGTCAAGAATTAACCAGGATTGTTGTTTTCGTGGAGCGGGATTACCCCCGTCGGGCTTTCTTCAATACTACCAGCTCCATGCCAGTTTTAAATTCCGAGATGGAAGCCACCAGCAGCCAGTCTCCCAATGCTAGGTACTTTGGCGAGAGCTCCCCGACGGAACTGAGGGACCTTGAACGCAACGCCAAAAGGGCAACCACAAAGCAGATGGCAAGGGCCGCCACGTACCTCCAATGTGCCTTCCATGGCCAACATTATGCCTGGTTTGGCGGCTGGGCACTCAAGCTTCGAGGGTCGCGTCGAGACACCAGGGACATTGACTTGCTAGTCCGCGCAGATGGTATCAGGCAGGTGAGAGTTGTCTTGGAACCACACAATTGGTAATTACTTAAAGCATCCCCCACTGTCTGCTGATGGCCATCTATCCTGATGGTGGCATGGCAACAACATTAACCACCAAGCAAGACAATCATGTCGTTTTATGAGATTACCGGTAGCATTCAAGAGAGAATGTTTGTCGACGTTGGCGAAAATGGGCAGGTTGTTGGAGCTGATATTGTCCTTTCCAACGGTACGCATGTTTGCCCCAAGAAGGGCTTTTATTATTTAATACTTGATTACACTAACGCTTTAGGCAATCTAAACACCCCCATTCTCGGAGAGCCGGACTCGATTGAAATGATCCAGCCCCAAGTGCGAATAATGCACGGGGATAGGGTGCCTGTTATTGATCTTGCCTGGCAAGTTGAGGGAAAGCTTTGGACATGGACCTCGAGAACTAAGGACTCTGATTTCCAAGATCTAGTGTTCCTCTTTCATACCTATGGGGACAGGGTCAAGGAGTGGAGTGAGCACTTGAAAAAGGACCAGCGGATCAACTTTTACGAAGTCTATAAAGTGGAGGCAAAAGACAAAGCGGCTCAGAAGAAAATGAAGGAAGTTCTCTCTCTTTGATGTCAAGTGGCGGCCTTCAACTCGGGACGTCAGGCAGACATCTGCACGTTCAAGCATGGAGAGGAGAGCTGGCCGAAGACCGTGGTGGGTGGGCCAGTAATTAATTAGTTAGTTGATTAGTTTTAATTCTTGAAATTGCGGATCTGGAATGAATGAATACCTTTGTTCCCCCAACATGGATAGCCCCTGCCCGACCTTAATACATATCCGACAGCTCTGTCCATGAATCAGGGGTATCTATGATACGGTACTGCGTTACGAAGACATCCTTGGGCTTCGTCCAGTCAAGCCTGTCCCCCTTTGTGTGCACCTTGGACTGCCACATCTCCCGCTTGCTCTTCGGTGCATCCGGCACAAATGGAGCCCAGTGGGCGAACTTGCCACCGGCAAACTCTCTCCCCCTCTTGTTCAGGTCTTGAGCCCATTCAACATCATTGGTCCCCTCGAGGTCAAGATGGTCCTCTCCCCATTGCTCGGACACGTCGGTGCCATCTACAACGTCGCAAAGCTGGAGCTCGTTGCGCATATCCAGACAGCTCTGAATGAAGACGTCGAGTTTGGGATACGGCAGGCTCCTGAGGCTGCGCGTGAAGTTGGAGGGTTCGCAGACCATGTGTACATCCCTCGAAGGGACGAGGATAAAGTAGTAGTCGATCCCCTTGCCCTTGAATCGGTTGTAGGTATTAACCAGCGACGGGTCATAACCAGGCCACGACTCAACTAGCTGGTAATCTTGCACGTAAGGGTCGGATTGTAGCAAGTCTGCTGCTTTATCGACAAGCTCTGTTGGGACACAAATTTCCCAGTCCTGTTATTCGTTCGGCTTGTTAGCAACCGAGCACGTGTTCGGGCGTTTATAGAAGGTTGGGTTAAGTTGAGGCCACTAACCGGTCGCACTCTGCCCGCGCCGTAGAAGATGAGGGCGGATATGCCAACCAGGCAGCAGTGGATGCCGTGCTCTTCCAACACCTTGGTGACGTGGAGAGTATCATCGGTTCCAAGGCCCCCATTGGACGCTGGCTTATTATCTTCGTCTTGGTCTTCCTCAAAGTCGCTTTCCCAGGGGCGCTTGCTTGCAGATGGCCTTGTGTTTTGCTGATTGCAAGTTGTAGCCTCAATACTCGGTTCCATCTTTCATGCGGCCGTTGGTGGTGTAGGTACCTATGTGCTATGGAACGCTTGTGGTTTGTAGAAATGATCAGCAGGTTCTCATTGGTTCCTGTGGGCACGGGCCTCTTACAGTCACATGCTCTCCATACCTGGACGGCTATTTAGGAATCCATCCCACGCCCACTTGAGGTTGGCATCCCTCCCTCACATCAAGACAAATGGCTGGCGGTTCACAGATCAAGAAAGAGGAACCAAGCGAGGTACAATCCTCAACTCCAAAAGAGAAACGGCCTAGCATCCTTGACGAACTTCAAATCCCCCCCTCAGCCCTGCCGCCAGAGTTTCGACGCCCGCCGGCAGACGCATCGCCCGGCTCAAACGGGAGATAGATGAAAGCACATCGCCGAAGGCGATAGTCAATCTGGAGGCTCTGCTCAGTTACTACGAAGAAGGTGGCCGATATCCAGAGGGAGAAGAGGAGTTGTGGGCTATCAACGGCAAGCTCTACTGGGGAATTAAGAGATATCCAGCCGATTATCCTGGCGACACCTTCTTCAAAGGTACCAAGCATTGCGAGGTAAGATACATTTACTTATGCGTTTGGAAACGGATGATCAAGGCTGAAGGGACGTCTAGACAACAAAGTTCAGACAGTGATAGTCACTGTATTCTCGGGGTCATTGCTTTACATGGTACGGTCTGCGCCTGACGTCCAATAATCCAGTCCAAGTGGTGCCATTCGTATCATCACCTCGCTATGTCAAACCCTGAACCAAATCGAGTGCTGGCAAGAATCGCTATGCTTGAAGAAAGAAAATCGCAAGCACCCCGGCAGGCGGAAAACATCGATGCTCTCATCAGGTACTACGAGACGGGTGGCGAGCTGCCTACTTACGACAAGCTTGTTTACGCACTCAATGGCAAAGTTGCGCGTGCCACAGTTGCCGAACTCGGGGAGCTTGTGAGAGCCCGAAACAACCCCAGAGAATAGCCGTATTACGACGCAAGTGCCGCCTTATTATTCTTACACCCCCTTGAAACATACAGCATGTGCAGAGGTTTGCTGACAATTGTGACTTTAGATGACTGCCATCCAAATGGGCCAGAGCTCTCGCAGCTAGTTTTCTCACAAGAAGTCGGAGGGAAAGGACAAGGGAAAGGCTATCTAGCTACCATTCAATTACAAAGGGAATTTCTCCAGGGGCATGCGCTATTTGCTCCGCGGGCAGGCGGTTAGTGCATCACAGGTGGCAGTTGCTTTTGCTGTTGCCTATTGCTGTCGCTGTCTATTGCTATTGCCATTGCTGTCTATCGCTCTTGCTGTTACTGTCTATTGCTCTTGCTGTCACTCCTGTCACTCTTGCCGTTGCTGTCCATGGGGTTTAGGCGATCCCTTTAGCTTGACCCCTGCTCCTTTGCTGGTCATGCTCAGAATCGGCTTCGGTATCCTGGCCACGAATCCTTATATGCACTGGCATTCCGTCCTTCACATGTGGTGGCGAGTCAGCTCCTACTTGATAGCAGCGGTCACCCCAGATCATGTTCGGCGCTCTCTTGGAGTTCCTGGCGGGACCAGTCGTTAGTTATTTCTCTTCAGAAACCAAAACACCGCGGCAAGGCCGGTACAACCCTTACAACACTCACCTGTTACGGTCCCACTCGTCCCAAGCACACTCAATATCGAAGCGCCTCGCAACGAGGGCCACCACAAGCTTGATCTCGACCATGGCCAGGTGCTGGCCGATGCAGTTCCGGGGCCCGGCCTCGAAGAACCGCCACGCGTTCTTGGGCGGCCGCAGCGGATCATCCTCGTCCGTCGTGAGGAACCTCTCGGGCACAAACTCGTCGGCGCGCGGCCACAGCTCCGGGTCCCGGTGGATGGCGAAGGTGCCGTCCCAAACGACGAACCCGTCCGTCGGGAACCGCCGTCCCTCGCAGCCCGCCCCGGACCCGGGCGGCCCCACCAGATAGAAGCCCGGCTCCCCTCGCCGCATCGAGCCGACGTTGGTGTGCACGCGCATTGACTCCTTCAGCACGGCGTGCGTGTACGTGAGGGAGCCGAGGAGCTGCGGGCTGGCCCGAAGCGCGGCGGCGGCTTGGTCCGGGTCCGGCCCGAGGACCGCGTCGTGCTCGGCGCGCATCCTGGCGAGGACTTCGGGGTGCTGGGCGAGGAGGTGAAAGAGCCAACATATCGTCGACGCGGTGGTGTCGTGCCCGGCGAAGAGGAAGGTGGTTATCTGCCCGACGGCTACCTCGAGGAAGTCCTTGTCAAACACCAGCGGTTTGCCGTTACGCGCGCCTTGTTCGCTGTCCTCTTGGTCTTGGCTCTGGACGATTAGGTCCACCAATGTCTTGTTGGTGGCTGTACGATCGATCTGTAGCTCGGATACTCTTTCCTGGATGAAGGGAGCGAGACAGTTCGTAAGGGTTCGGTAGTTGCGCCACAGGTTGAAATGTCGCCATGGACTGAGATAGGAGGCGATGTTGCCGATATGGACGTAGAAGTACATCCTCGATATGGTATCGATGAGGGCCACGGAAATCGGAGATCGTTTCCCCGCCTGCTCGTGGAGTCGTTTGTTCCTGTGGCGTCGTAAGCTCTGCTTTCTGGCGAAGGACCGGGACTGGCATAATTGGCACTCACAGGAAGAACCGAAAGATGACGTCCATGGCCAGGTTCGTGGTGGCCTCTTCAAGCGGGAATACATCCCCCCATGCCCCATTCTTTCCCGCCCGGCCCTTTAGTACCTCTGCAAAGGCTTCGACTTCTTCCAGCATGTCTGGGATTCGGCTGGTAATGTTCTGGATGCTGAAGCCTGGGTTCAATCTTTTCCGCCATACCTTCCACTCCGACCCTTCCATCGAAGACACGTCGCGGTTGCGTGTCAAGGGATACAGGACACGCTTTTGTTGGTAAGCTTTTGGCAGAGAGTAATCCTGTGTGAACTGGGCGGATATGTCTGGGTTGACAGATATTATCATGGGCGATGCAAACGGCCAAAGGTCGACGTAGATGACAGGTGGACACTTTGAGCAGTTGGGGAACAGCTCCCGCCAGTTCTCCTGTATCTTCATCATCATGTAGTCGCCGTGGGCATCGGAAGGAAGCCCGGACATCAGCTTGCCAATGACCTCGAGGTGACCGAGGATCATGGAATGCTTCATGAGAGGCTGTTGGGAGGCTCAATTAATAACCTTGCGATGGAAATATCACGGTCACAGTGCTGCTATGAATGAAAGGTCATTCCATCCAACTTACAATGCCTTGCTGACGCAGCGATCGAAATGTGCTCCGAACTTGATAGCCTCGGTAGAGGTAGTAGCCGATGGCTGTCGCGAACAGGACCGCCACTCCACGAAGAAGAAGCTGTAGGACACCATAGCTGCCAGAGTAGGAAAGTCCCATTGTCTGAAGAGCCTCTGGGCGGATGGGCCCCGATCCGGGATAGTGGATGCGCGCTAGAAAATGGATACCTTGGGACGGCCAGAGGCCAGAGTGAGGGTGTGGGACGAGTCGTTGGGGATAATGAGATTGCGCCAAAACAGCAGAAGGATGGGAATGTTTGGCAGCGTCTGCAGAGCGATGCTCACGAAACTCCCGTGCAAAGGGGTGAAATTACAGGAGACGCCAAATGTAAGCTTGTGGTCATATTTGTTTGTTTTTTTTTGAAGCTGAATGGTGAAATTGGGACGATCACGTGCTCCACAGGTGCCAGCCAGGGGGATCACTTTTATGGTGCCCCACTTTTCCCGACTTCAGGGATTCAGATTCCGTCCTCCACTTGATATTCCGAGCAATGAGGGACGCGATTGTCGAACATCACGTAAGAAAGGCGCGAGACTCCTTTGTCAATGCAATCGATCCTGCTGCTGTCTTCCTGTCAAAGTTGTGAGAGCGTCGGGCAAGCACTACACTGTCTCGAGGTTCGTATTTGGTTGCGGCAGCGCTGCACTCTCCTTTGACCATTGTCGAGGTATTTTGGAGCTGCTTTTACCTCGCCCAGAAAGACGTACGACAGCACGTCTTGTCGAACAGCGACAGAAGCAAAAATGTTTCGCTGCTACTGAGGGAAAAGATGGAACAAGATCTGGATGCATTTCTTAGCGAGTGTGACTACGTCCAAGGTCTTCTCGACCGGAAGGTGGAGGATCAGAGACACTACACGGAAGACTTGGAGCGACTTGGTATCAAGCCTGACCCAAACTCACTATCCCGCCGACAGACCATAGTTTGAATGCATAGGAGCGCATGTGATCCAGTCAGTGTTTAGAACGCAAGCATAGCTTGTTTGATCAGTTCTTCCAGGTCTTCAATATCCTTCTCGATCTGTACCAGCTCTTCCCCAAGAAACAGGGCCGCCCTCTCCGGGTCATCGGTAACATCCTTCCCAGAGCATCGTTCCCTCGCAAGCGCCGAGCTACTCCCCCATTACCGTTTGCTTCCGTAAGAAGTCTTTGCCCCTCCTGCTTCTTCCCTCATCGATGGCTGTGTGGAGTTCCTTGAGGCAGGCCTCTTTGCTGTAGCAGTTGGCCGTGGTAATCGTTGCTGTTAGGTGGCTGGACATTCTAACCCGGTCCTTGCTCTTCTGGAAATCTCTGATCAACGACTCCATGACACTCTGCTCCATCAGTCTCTTGGGGTGGTCCTTCGATTCCCAGAAGATCCTCTCATAGAGGAGCGTAATTCCTGCGATCATTTTGAGGAGGACACCAGCCGTCTGGGCGGCAGACAGGGGGCCAAAGATGTTGATGGCCATCAAGAACTGCACTCCAACCCTGTCCATGACTGTGGCGTCAAAGCACGCTTGGAGAATCAGATTGCGAATCTTGGACTTCTGGACGAGAGCCCTGCAGCCAGGGATGCGCCAGACAACGTCGATTGTCTCGAGGATTTTGTAGAAAGACTTGTACAGTGCAGCAGCTCCAATGAAGGGCACGAACGGGACCGAGCTGATCCCTACCGCGTTCCAGAACGAGCGCATACCGACGTCGATGGAAGCTGTATCCAGTCAGAATAGGGTCCAGTGAGTCATTGTTATTGAATGCAGAAGGGTTGTGTGTACCTTGAAGCTTCATATCTGCCGAATGTGCCTGCGCTGCGGTCCACAAGAGCTTGAGGCCATCTTCTAGGAGTATCTCTCGCGTCTCCTTCACCAACGTGTCAACCAATGATGAGCCCAGGCTTCCTGCATCGTCGTCGGGTCGAATACCAATCCTTGCCATGGTGACCCGGTTTCTTCTCCCAAAGTATTTCTCGAACTGCCCTCGATAGTTGGCGTCGTACTCGGCAATGGCTGCATGGGTGGCAATCTCTTTGATGTGAGAAATATCCGGCTGGGTAACACCTCGTCTCGTCTGCCTCATGAGCTCCTTTATGAAGGCACTGTCTTCAAGCTTGTCGAACTGGGTAAAGACAACCACAACTGGTATTTTCCCAACGTCGGCGTTCTGGAAGAATTCCAATTCAGCCCCCTGAATTGGCCTGTTTGAGTTGCAGCTGATGCAATACCTGGAGTCATGGGTCAGCGAGTGATAACTTGGGCGACTACATCCTCCCAGCTACTGCTGCCACTGCAGCTCACCATATGCAATGCAGCTGATCGGCCAGGCGGTGCTGCGTCTTCCGAAAGTTGATGAACTTTGTGATTTCTTCCACACAACCCACATCTCCAGCCTCGAAGCCGCCCGAATCGTGCAAGATGAGGCTCTCGTTTGCGCCTTCGAAAGTGATGGGTTGCCACACTTTCTCCTTGGCAGTCCCGATGGAGTGGTGGCTGACCCCTGCCTGTTGGAGAAGAAGAGGTTAATTAGCCGTACTTTCTCTGCCCGGGTATGCTAGTTGGGAGGGAAGCAGGAAGCAGGAGACAGGAGACAGGAGACAGGCATAGCTACTTGTTCTGGAGGGATTCCGAACACCTTGGAGCATATGGTGGACTTGCCAACCCCGGCCTTCCCGATAATCAGGATGCGGAACTTGTCGCATGATTCGGGAAGACTGAGAGAAGATTGTGCGGACGGGTCTTCCAGCACAATCTTGGACGTGTCAATCTCTTGCCGATAGTCATCGTTCGGATCATTTAGATCCAAGGGGTGTGAGGAGCCTTCAGTATGCTGTTGCGTCATTGCATGCGAGAGATGGTGTTGGTGAGTCCGGTGATGTTGTGGAAAACACTCAGGAGTGGGAGGAGATGTGTGTCGAAGAGGGGTTGAAGAGGAGTGAGGCTGGGAGAGGAGGAGGGGGGGGGGGGGGGGGGGGCAACACATGTGCTGGTTCGGGCAACCCAAAAAATTAGAAGCCCAGACCACCAAAAAACGATAGGCGCCCACCCCCATGTGTTGTGGCGTGGGCCAAAAACC